CAAGAAACGATAATTTCCGTATGAATCTCATTAAGCTCCACCCATATTTCATTTATTTGAGCCGAAAAAACATCTAATTCCGCTCTTTCTATTTCCCCAGACACAAATTTCGGTTTCAGAATATTGTTTATACGCGTTACTTTACCTTTCAAAATGCTACGTCTTTTCTTTAAAGTTTCCATTATAATTACAAAATACAAGATTTAAGATCAAAGATTTATTGACGGACCGAAAATAAGATTAAAAAAAAACAATGTTAACTAGAGCAATATAAAATACTTTTATCTAGCTCTCTTAATTGAAATCGAAACTAAATTATAAACAATAGCTCGGATTTTTCACTCCGGTCTCGAAGGACCAAAAAATGGAATGAATCTTAAATAAATCATAAACTTATATAATGGAAAAATCATAAAAGTTAAGTAGAATATCATTAAAATTATAGAAACTAATACAATGTGGGAAAATGAAAATTATGACAACTTAGCACAACAAATAAGTTTTCAAAATCTTACCGGATATATACTTTATTTCTTTGATTGATTATCAGAGCATGATTTATAGATAACACTGAAATATTTTTCATTGAATTATAAATGAGTAATTGAAATTTCAATGGCCATATTGCCAAACATAAATATTACTCATCTACCAACATAATGAATAAATCTAAACTGAAACTAAAAAAAAAGGAAAGAAAATAATAAAAACAAAATATTTCTTGATTAACAGTACCACTGGCGCCATCTGTTATTGAAATTATAAAAAGAGTCAAAACATCGTTCGATAATAAGTTATTTAACCTTAAAGGGTTTAAAAATTCATTGGCGGTTTTAGCTAAGTTATTTTTAGTATTTTGTTTAAAATTTTTAGTTCATATTTTTAAAAAATAGTAAATGTTATTAAAATTATTTATAAGCTATAATATGGGATTTTCTTTAATTGAAAACCTTTTTAAAACTTATTAAACATCGTCTCTCCATATTTCTATTATTAATAATTATACCATTATAATTCTAAATTGCATAAAATACAGTTTCTGGTATCTAATCCAAAATCTTTGTTCTTGAACATTTGAAAAAATTACAGCAGCACATTATTTGTAGATTGATGATTCAAAAACCGAAAAGAAGAAGAAGATTCAAAAACCAGATAATTAAAATAATAAATAAATAATTAAATGAACAATAAATGAAGGAACTAACTATCATAAAAGTATCAGAAGTATTATAAAAGTATCATATCAGTCTATGCCTTGTTTTATTTTTTAAAAGTATAATTTTATTGAAAAACACTTTAATGTTTTAGCTTTTATAAAACATATTTGATCTATTCATCTTATTATCTATACACAAACAATTAAAGACAATTAAACTTGTGTCAAGTCATTTGATTAAACTTTTTTAAACTTGTCAAAACTTACAGTATTTCAATATAATCTGAATTTATTCAAAAAATTTGTCAAAAATCACAAATTGGCTTTTTTGGGATAGGGTAAATTGGTAATTGCTTATTTATTTATTAAAAAAACCCATTAAAAACACTTTTTGAGAAAATTTTGCTTGCATTTTTTTTTTGTTTTTCGTACTTATGTAGTGTTGAACCTCGACTTCATTATGATTTAAATAAACATGTATCTATAATTTATTAATGTTTTTTTGCTGTTTAAAATTCTTTTTCTTCACTGTCTTTTTATCTATAGTTTATTGATATGGTATTCATAATTTTGTATTATCTTCTGTTTATAATATATAATTCTTTTATTGCAATTAATAGTGTAGCTTATAATTTTATGTTACATTTTGTTATTTTGAAGTTTTCTGTAATTAGCTATTCTTTCAGGCTTTCTAATTTTTTATTTATCTTTCAGTCAATTCTTTTAGTTACATATTTTTCCCTACCAATTTAAAAATTTATCTAATTTGCACCGAATGTTTTTATTCATAAATTTTTTCTTGCGCAAGTCATTTGTGTCTACTTACTAGCAATTCTTACAAAAATTAATCTCTGCTAAAAAATTTTATGAGTATTTGCTAATGCAGTAAGTCTAGTTTCTACTAATTTTGATTACTTTGTGACATGATGATTTTGATAACAATAAGAAAAATCGTAAAATTATATAAATGTAATAATTTTGTGATTTTACGTAATTCCAAACGTAATTTTATCCCCTGAGTCAACTCTAATTTTCTCGCTTTAATAACCTCATCACTGGAGACTCTGGTTCGGCGATTTTGATTTTTAGCCGGGATGACTATCCTTAAAACTGGACTTTTAGTGACTTTAAAAATTTTTTAAATCTCATGGTATTCTTAGGTTGGATTTGAACTGTCCTCGTCATTCACACCATTTTAATCCACTTTTACTATTTCAACACTATTTTGATGATTTTACTATTTGTAACTCGTTTAATTGTTTCCTTAATAGGCAATTTGTCCTATGATTAGTTTTTAAAATTTATGCCATTTGATTGCCTCAATATAAGGGTCTGTTGACCTGGAATGGCAATTTATATTTTAATTTGCTTCTAATATTGCTGGTGTTTTAAATTTAATTGTGCTTTTAATCCTTATTTTAGGGTCTGTTGACCTGGACTTTTCATGGCATACATGCCAGATATATTTGTCAAGTTTTCTTAAAGATTTAATATTCTGACTAATTGTAGATTACTAATTTTGTTCAAGAGTATTGTTCGCCCGCAAAGTTTACGGGCTGTTGCCATTTGACTTTTGTATCTTATGTATTTTATGCATTTTTTGTATTTTATGTTCTTTAATGTTTTTTTTTACTTGGTTTTTAATAAACATTTACCCGTATGCCCTCAGTAGGGGCAGGTTGGGGTAAATATTTTCATAAATTTAATAATTTGAAACTCACATACTAAGTTAAAAAATAACATAAAGAAAAACAATCATATATTTATGTACTGTAATATTCCTTAAATTTATAAGAATTATACATCATTTAGAAACATACATCATTCAGACAATACTTAATTGTCTGAAATGTTTCCTCAGAAGTTCATTTCTAAATTATTCACTTATCATAATGTTTTTTAAAGTCATCGGCTCGGTATTGTACTCAATGTTTCCACACTTTCATTGCATTTCAGCACTTGAATGAGGTGGATCAACATCTAGGAACTCTACATCTTCATTTGATGTTCATTGTCGGTAGTTTGATCATCCATCTTTTTCGCTATAACAATCTGGCAAACTTCTTATTCTGTTAATGTGAAGCTACGTCGATGTTTTTATAAATTTTCATCAAATTCTTGAACTCTTGAGTTGGCAAAACTGAAAGGTTGTTCTATAATCGATTATCCTTCTTTTTCGTTATAACAATCTGACAAACTTCTTACTCTGTTAATGTGGAAGCTACTTAGATGTTTTTATTAGTTTTCATCAAATTCTTGAACTCTTGAGTTGGCAAAACTGAAAGGTTGTTCTATAATCGATTATCCTTCTTTTTCGTTTTAACAATCTGGCAAACTTCTTATTTTGTTAATGTTGAGGTTACATAGATATTTTTATTAATTTCAATTAAAAACTCGAACTCTCAAGTTGTCAAATCTGAAGGCTGTTCTATAATTTCTTCTTCTTGGATACCTTTTTGTGCGAAATATTTTGTGAGCGAAGCAATTTCTGATGATTTTAGCAGAAACTAGATTCCATGAAAAGATGTGCACCGCATCAAGAGCCTAGTTTTCTGAGTCAAAGAAAAGCACATTTCATTAACAGACCTGTCCAACCTACAATTTAAGAAGGAGTGAAAAAATTTGAATTCTAGCATTAAAAAAAAGAAAAAGAATTCTGTGAAATCCAAAAATTAGCACAAGGAAAGAAAAGGTATTTTTTCTGAATTTACGCAATAAATATAAATAAAACAAGAATGAATAAAAAAAATTGAAAAAATAAATATAAATACTGATAACATTAAATGATGTAATGATCGCATAAAGCGATAATTTTAACATACAAATGTATAGAAGAAATCAGAGTCTGAGTGATATTGATAGCAATATAGCAAATGATAACATTAACTGCTATCACATTAAGCAGAGACTACTGTAATTCTATACTTATCTGTAAATTGTAATTGAATGTGTGGTTTAGCAAATATTGTTACCATCTTGCATAATCTTCTTGTTCTCTTACTACAGTTTGAATGCAATATTGAAAAAAACAAAAACCTATTTCACCTATTTGGACCTATATTTTGAATTTGTGCTGTAATATATGTTTCTGTTATTTTTGTATCTTAGGTTGTTTTTTGTCTTCTGTGTATCACTCTCATAATTTATTACTTCTTAAATATTTTGTAGGTTGGATGCAAATGTCCATAGTATCCTTAGGCATATGTTTGATGACAGCTATGATTTTTATTGGTCAAATCTTTTTTCAGTGGTTTCTCATACTCAGCCCAATTTCATACAAAGTAAGAGTTTTTTTTCTTCCTTTTTTAAACAAAAATTATTATATATAAGCAATGGTTTTTAGTTTTCTCTAAAATTGGAAAATGTGTGTCATAATTTAAAAAAATAACTTTTCTCCCACATAAATTTATTTTTTATAGTGTATTAAGAATAGTTTTGTAATATTTGAAGTTATTTCTATCTTGTAAAAATTTCAATGTCATAAACATTATAAATAACTTTTAAACTTAAAACGTCTTACAAATAAAAAGGAAATTTTTTCGCAAAATAATATTTTGCATGAGTAGAACAACTTACTTGTTTGTTGACCAATTTTCATTATATTTTCATACATTTTTATCATATTTTTTCTTTTTATATCTCAATATAGATTTTATTTTCAATCATAAATATTTTTTGCAATTTTATAAAAGCAATTGAAATCTTAATGTTTGCTTTTTAATTTTATTTTAAAAAAAAACTTAATTTTTAAAAAAAGAAATTTTTTTTAAAGACTTTTAAAAAATTAAAGAATTTTGCATCAAGATTTTTAATATTTTCTTTATTGTTTAAGTTTTTATAAGAAATTTATTGTGAAAGACTTTAGTCTTATGAAAATAAAAGAATCTGCATTGTGACTTGTATTTTTTAATAGTAAATATTTTTCCTTTTTTTGTTACAAATTTAAATGCTGACTTTAAACAAAAAAATGCTACCAGCTCACCTCGAAGACCTTAAATTATAGTTCAGTGTTATTTAATCATCATTTTACTGAGTAAAACTGGTTTTAAAAGTTAAGTATATAATAATTAATAAAATAGATAAATTGTAGTGCAAAAAATAAAGCATGAGTTAAAGTTCAACTACAAATTTTTTATTCCCTATTTATATCAAATGATTAAATTTTCACCTAGTAACCAAATTTTATTTAATGTTTTCTAATGTGAACATAATAAATCTTAATTTATAATTTTTTTTTCTTTGCTTTATTAAGAAAAGCATTAAGTAATTCATAATTTTATTTAACTTTATAACTAATCTTTTGTCTAACTAACCAACAACTTTCCTTTCATGTTTTCCAATGTAAAAAGATTAAGTATAAATTTTTAATTTTTTTCGTTACTTGATTGAGAAAAACATTAAGAAATTCATAATTTTATTTAACTGTACAGTGTATTACATTCAGTGAAGCAAACTTTAAGTTTATTGCATATTTAATTGATGCTTATTAAAATTTATTTGACTTAAACTCAATTTTTGTAGTAAAGTTTTAGTTAAAATTTATTTACCAAGTTATAATTTCTTTCAAAATTAAAAGTAACTGTAATATAAAACAAAAATTGAACATGGCTATGACTTGGAAACGCTTGAGAGTATGAGACAATACTCTCTAATTATTAAACAGTTTTCATTACCATTGTTATTCTTTTCTTACTTAATACTTTGTGTACTATTTTTTTTAATAAAAATGACTTTTATAAAAAGAATACTTTAATTAATCTAAAATTTGCTTGTTTATTAAATTATCCTCAAGCTAAAGAAACATTTAGATTTTAAAAAGTTGTTCTTTCTTTAATTAGAAGAAGTTGAATTATATATAAAAACATATTTTAACTAAATTTAAATATTTTGATTAAAAACAAAACCTTTTTTGTATGGTAAAAGTGATCAGCATCAAAGGGATTACTTAAACACTTCTATTTCTTAATTCTTTTGTAGGCATTCTCTTCTCAAAGTCGTAGAAATAGTTCAGAGCCCTCAAGATCCGATGAAATTTCACAGCAGGTACAAATAATTCCTGACTTCAAATTTGTTGTTGTATAAAATCAGGGTGCTTAGTGGTTTTAAAAAGTGTGCCTATTTTTGATTTACATTTTTTATTAGTCCTTAAAGATGCTTCTTTTATTCAGAATTTGTAAAAAGTGCTTAATTTTCCATCTTTTAAAAAGGGATTTTTTCTTTGCCGTGTCAATTGTCATTATAAATTACAAAAAAATGCATCATTTTCACAATTTTCTCTGTGATATTTATCTGAATCTACTTTTTTTTTTATCATGATTATACAAAGTTTTTGAGTTTTATTGATTTTATATTTATTAATTAAGAACTTTAAATGACAGAAAAAAATAATTTTTATTGATGCACAGATCCTAATTATGATTTTTTTTTTTTTTGTAAAGTGATTAAAAATATTTTTTGAGTGCTTGAAAAGTAATTAAAAGGTGATTATTTTTTGTTAAAAAATCTGGCTCTGCACCCTGAAAATAGTGAATATTAGTCATGGTTTGCAATACAGCTATTTTTACGCTATAAACAGTTTCCATTTACACTACCAAAATAAATACTTATTTCTTTTGGTGTTTGTATATGGTATGAAAATGCTGAATAGCTTCTAATTATATATATATATATCTTATTTATTATGTTCTCTTCTTTTACATTTATTGACTAAATAAATAATTTTGTCTAAAAGATTTATGAAAGAAGTGAGAGAAATAAAAGTGAAATGTAACAGTATCAAAATATCTTTAAAAAACAAAGTTTAAAATTATAATACCTATGATAAAAAATGCAAAATATCAAACATTTTTTTGATTTATTCAAAGAAACTGAAATAAAAATAATAATTTTGAATTAATTATTATTCTGATAAATGTAAAATTGACATGTTTTTAGTAGACAAGAAGGAAAAGATTTAGAATTATTTGATTATTTTGCACAAACCGCAAAGTTTATTATAATTTTTCATTATTGTTATTGCAATTTAGATACGATTAGTGGTTTAGGTACTCTTACTATTAAACCTTGAGGTTTGATCCCCAATGGTAGTTAGAAATTCACTCTGCTTTAGATTGATGGGTACCAGGTGGTCTGGGAAATAAGGATAGTTGGTGCCTAATTCTGACCATATTGTCATCATCCTGCAGTTGGTCAAGAAAATGTGAACCCTTAACCTCCATGACTCTCTTTGCACATAGCAGACTGTTGTGAAAGTGCTTTTTCTAGTTTTTGAATCATCAAAAATACATTCATTGCTTTATTAAAGAATTTATTAAATAATATTTTATGAAATATTAAAGAATTGATCTGATAACAAATATCAATTTTATTTGTCAGCAATTTGCTTAGAAGATACTGTCAGTGGGCAATGCTAATCACATTGCGACCCTTCCTGCCGTTGATCGCTAAAATGAGGTTCCTTAAAAAGTAATTTATGTTTTTAGTACATATATTTTGTTCGTGAATTTGATCCCAAGAAAATTTCTGTTTAGATCAGCTTTTACAGCCTTATCTGAAGAAAAAAAATTTGTTGGGATAACAGGGGTCAGGGAGAACAGGAAAAACTTGGAATTGTCAGAGAATTTTATTTTGCCCGTAAAAAGCAGAGATTAACACACATTGGAATTTATGTTCATATGATTTAAAATCACACATCATGATTCATGTTTAAGCGATTTAAGATAGCATTTTGTGTTTCATATTTTCACGATTTTAAAATCAAGATTCGTATTCATGTGATTTTAAATTCAAATATCAAGATTTATGTTCACTTGATTTTAATATCGAACATCGAGATTCGTATTAACCCGGATATAAATTCAAACATAAAAATTTTTATTGACGCTATTTTAAAATTAATATCGATATTCGTGTTTGCGTGGTTTGAAAATTGCACATTGAGATTCATATTCCCACAATTTAAGTAGATGAATAAAATATCGCATCGATACTTTAATTAAAACATAGATAACATTCTGTTTATAAATGATTCCTACATATACTTTTTCCTTTCTCAAATTTCGGGTATTTTTTTCAAATATTTAAGAAGTTTTTTTGCACGTAACATTTTTGGATTTCTATTTTCAGCTTGTTTTTTTTTAACTCTCATCCATGTGGTTGTGAATCAATACAGAGTTTCATAAATATTAAAAAAAATCCATGATTTTCCACCAAATATCACCAAAATGAGGTGGTGACAAAATGGTTGAAACTAGTTATAAGAATTAATCAATTGCGGAAAGATTTTTATTTGATATTTTGTGTTCGCTGATAGTTTTTTTAAATTTTATCTGAGTGTGTTGTTAACATCTATGCTATGTAATTTTTAGCCTTATCTACCTATGGTCCTTGAAGTGCTCAGCCTCTAAAGGAGATCTATTTCATATTTTGTGTTCGCAGATAGTTTTTCATTTTATCTAAGTGTGTTGTTAACATTTATGTTATGTAATTTTTAGCCTTATCTACCTATGGTCCTAAAGCGCTCAGCCTCTAAGGGCGAAATATTTACAACCATCATCCAAGACAGATCGTATGGAACTAATGAAGACAGCGTGCAGTCCACTCCTGATGGGGGAAGTCTTAATATTCCTGACACCACCGAATGTGATAATTTTGCATCAGAACACTATCAGAGATTCTGAGCATCACTTTACTTGTGAGAAATGACAGGGTAGTGTGTGCAATTTGAACTGTCGTTATTTACTTAAAATGCTATTTTTGGTGCAATACAATATTTAGAGTGTAATAAAAACAAATACTGATCTCTTTTTATATAATTTGCTTTGCATTTTCTATTTTCTTACGCCCCTAATCTTATTTATCAAGTTTTTAGCTCAAATCTGTTCAATATTTTTTTGGTAATCCTATTTAAAAAGTTTTTCGTGGGGAAGAGGAAAAAACTTCTTAGAAAAATTAATTAAAATTTCAGTATGTCGGAAAAAATTATTTTTTTAGAAATCTTAAATGTGCAAATATTGCAAATAAAAATTTGCAATAAAAACTGCTAAAAAGAAGCCGTGATGGCTTAGTGATTAAGACGCTGAACCGTCATCGTGAAAAAACTGGGGATCGATGTCCAGCAGTGGCTTGAAGCCTACATAGCTGGTTACAAAATTGTAGAGTCTTAACCGCCATAGGCTGTTGCGGGAGGGCCTTTCCTTCTAACTGCTCAAAAGGGGATTTTATTTTATTGCACAACTATCGTTGAGCTGGCGACCCGATTTTGGGTTTATGAGTACTGATGTTCAACTTCTTAGCCTTGTAATTTGAATTAAATTCAGTAAACAAGGAAACTCCTGGATCAAGTATTGAGAGAAATTTTCCTTCGGGGTAGATTTTTTATGTAACTAACCTGCATTTGCATTGCACCGACAGGTAAACCTTCCACAGTCAGCCTGATGGAAAGGGACTCTAACCCATTAGCCATCATCTACCACTGAGGATATTTGCGTCAGCACTGTGATCGGAGATTTTAGAAACCAAGCTAAAATCCATTAACTACTTAAAAATGATCAGAAATCCACTTGGAGTGATAATGGAATCAAGCCTCTCAAAAAGTAATTAATTTACTTAACAAATCAAACTCCCCATGGTGTAATAATATTGTATTCAAAATATCAGAACTTAAAAAACCATGTTGAAATTTGCAGAATTATTGCTGAAACAGTTATTGATAAATTATGCAGATTTTTTACTTTGTGTTGTCAAAAGGCCAAGTATAGTTTTTGTTTTCTAATAATTTTTCATATTTTGAACGAAAAACTGCCAGTCTAAGAAAACTTTTTTACATGGAAAAGGTGAAAAGCAAAATTTTTTAAAAGAATTAATTTAGTCTTGTAGTAATATGGGAAGAAATATATTCGTAGAAATATGGGATAAAATGGTAGCAAAAGTATACATTACATAAAAAGAAAAACTTTTTAAACAGGTTTTACTCTATTTCACTAAAATAATAGTTTCATATATAAAATCATTTATTATTACTGACTTTGCAGATTTTCTTAGAAATAGTTAATAAATAAGGTATAATATTGTAATTTGAGTTTAAAAATGTTTTGAATAGTTAACTGCTAAAGTACTTAGTAACGATTTTCTAAACACTTACTTTTATTTTTGCATCAACCCATGATATTCCTGCTTATGCTTTTATTTCATAAAAATGCTGTCAAAGTAATCATTTCAATTGTCATATTTATTTAGCTTCTTGTTGGACATTAGTCATTATTTTAAACATAAAACTTATTAGTTTTATTTGTGATTTCAAAAGTATTGTTTTACTGTTACTAAATAGAACTTTGTTTTACATCATTATTATTGTTATTACAATTAATTTCTAATTCTGTATGTAGAGATTTCTAGGAAGCTTATAACCTGATAAAAGCTATTGTGGTGATTGAACGAAGGCGTCAAATGTAATTTAGAATATATCAATTTACCTTTAAATAATCTCATTTTTTCTTCAATTGTTTTCATTACACAGAGAGTTTTGTCTTTCAAAGTATAGATAGTATTTTCTATGCATTTTTGTAAACATTTCATTCTTAAGTTAAAGTATTTGTTAAATATAACATATGATTATGTGAGACCATTTAAAAACTAAACTCAGTGGCACGACAGCTCATCGATGGCACATCTCAGTTTTTTTGCCGTTCGGCTCTGGGGTGCAGGAGCAGATGTTCCGATTGGGTGGTCAACCAAACGTGGAACCCCCAGTGCTTAGTCCTTAAGAATGCTTGGTACTCATTTCATCGACCCACTGAAGGGATGAAAGGCTGAGTCAACCTTGCCTGGCCCTCGGATCAAACCTAGGACCCATGGAATGAAAGCGCAAAGCCCTATTACTCAGCCACTGGGTGTCCATTGTGAGACCATTATGTACTTTTATTTTGCAAGTGTACTTTTTATTAGAATTTCTGAAAAACTGGACAAAAAATATAAGCTTTCACTTAACATTGGTTAGATGAAATTTAAGAAAATTAATTTTCTAAATTGATTTATATGAATTGAAAACAGTTCTATAATATTTTATGATTGTTTAAAGATACAAATAATGATAGGAGATATTATTTTAATATCTTAGGTGCAAGTAAATACTATTTGCTAAGCTATTTCAAGTTCTTAGATTGATGGGCACTTATATAAGCGTTCCTAATTACTATATTTTAACAAGACTTATAAATCACTAGTTTTATAACGTCAAGTGAAGAAAAAATTATTTGCATAAATATGTTATTTGATAAAATACAGTTGTGACAATGTGATACATAAATGCACACGTTTTAATTTTCTAATTTAAAAGAAAAGTATGTTATATTTTTATTTATTTATTTTTGAAAAAAAAACCCAGCTTTTTATAGTATGCCAAAAGAAAAAGATCTTTATTACTTTTCAAAACTTGAATTTAAAAATGTAGAAATTTTTAAAGGAAATTTTTATAGTTGGAAGTCAGTTAAATCCAGCAGCATGGAAATGGTATAAAACTGTGCAATTCAGTGAACTGTTTGAAAGTAATGTTATTTAAATGATGTAGTTTTTAATACTGCTTTAAAGATAATTAATGATAAGGTAAATGGAAAAGATTTTATTAATAATGGTAAAATAAATTAATAGTAAAAATTGTCTCTCAACAGACAAAAAGCTATTGTTAAAAATTAATGGTCTTTAAAGCACAACTAAATTTAACAAATGCTGATTTAAAAATTGTCTCCAAACTCCCCCCCCCCCTCCATGTGCATTCAATTATTTAATAAATATGGAATTATTATGAACAAAAGCTCCATAAAAGTAAGTTTAGTAAAATTCTAAACATTTTGAACTGATAGTTTCTTATTTCATTATGTGATATGTAATAAATTCTGAAATAAATATGTGATCATTTTATAATGTGATTTGTAATCAAAAATTGATTCACTCACTTAAAATGAACACTACATTTTTGATATGATTTCCGACTTTCAAACTCATTATTATATTTTTGATTATAGTGTCAAAATTATTGGTCAGTAATCTTAAAGAATTTTCAACATTTTAAGACATGGTTACTGAAATTTGGCGAATTATGTTCCCTTTCTGTTAAACTGTATATAATTTCCCTTTTTAGAAAACTAAATACTGTAATACCTTTCTGTAGGGGGCACCAGACGAACCAAACTTTTTCTCCTTTAAAAAAAAATTCAGAAAATTTTAATTTAAAAGAATTCAGATAAACCGTTATTCAGAAGTCTTTTTTTTTTCAGTACATGAGAATTGAAAGTTTCTAATTAAAAAAAATAATTTTTTTTGCTGAAATATATATGAACAATGGAATTTTGTTCTTGCAGAAATTCATTTAAAATAATGTATCAAACTAAATTAAATTATAGTTAAATACTAGTAAAAAATTTTTTTGAATTAGAATGTTTTAATTATATATATTAAGCACATTGACTGAGATATTCTTTCCGAAATGTTAAGAAATCTATTCTTTAAACTTAGAAACAGCTGGGATTCTTTTTTTTATCAGCTTCACCTCAATTGTTTCTTTTTTTTAATTTTATTATTTTATTCAAATATATTCCCTATCAATCAACCCACCTTTTTTTTATTTTATCAATGTTGTAATTTGTTAATTTTTACCTGAATCTCTTCTTTTTTCAACACTCTGAGAGATTCTTCATCATTTAACCGGAACTATATACTCTGTTTACATAGCAGTATGTGTTCTTCGCCTTGTTTTAGATTAATTTTTTAAAAAAAAGAATTGTGTGCAAAATAAATTAATTTTTTCTCCACTTGGATAAGAAAGAATAATTCAATATTTTATTTTGTGTTTCTCTACTTATATTTTGAAATTTTTTTTTCAGCATCCCTTTAATCAAGTGTTTCTTGTTAAAAGGCAAACACATAAAGTTCCCTATTCAAAGGGCTCAATAGAATTGTCATTTAAATTGAATGTGTCTTAAATGCAGTGGTGTCCCTTACAGGAGGTAGTACTGTACTAAAAAGAATATAATTAAAAGACTAAGGGTGTTATTACTTTGTATTTTTTTCTCTATATTCATCGGTTTAGCTTATATTTGGTGCTGCTTTATTTATTAAAAAATTTGGTGCTAATTTTTTAAAATGTAAGTTTTTTTTGTAAAATAAATTAATTGAACCTTACTAAAGTATTAATCACTAATTTATTCATAGAATAACTTAAAAATTAGATTTTGAATTTGCTGCTCCGCAAAGATTAATTGAAATAAACATAGTTTGAATAAAATTGTTTTTGATCAGATATGGATGGTTGACTGAATGTAAACAATAACAAGTTTCCAAAAGAAAGTTAGAAAACTTACAGTGTATCCCTCCGCTTATGTTATGCATATTAAGCAATGTGTAAACCGGCTGAATATTCTAGAAATTTTATTATATTCTGATTTCTTTTCAAATGTGCTTGAAATTTTACTTTTCATATGAGTTTTCTGAAATTTATAAATTCCAACATGTCCTGATTCTATGGTTATAATCGGGGAAAATATCGCTGATTGTTATTTTTTGGGTAGCATCATAGCATACTTGCAGGTTCTTTCGAATAAATTTATTTGTTTTGTTGAAAGTTAGAGTAAAAGTACATGCAATATTTTGAACACTACAAGTATAATAATATTGAATCTAAGGGGCAAAAATCAATCTGAAGTAGTAGCCTGAATGTCTTACAATAAATTTTTTCCCCTAGCACTATCTGTGCTTAGCTTTGTCCGGTCAACCGTCCATGTTGACTCTTTAATCAGAAAGCCAAGACCTGTGTAATAATTTTTAAAATTGTATATCTATATCTATATATGATATCTATATATATAAATATATATATTGCTGGGCATGAATTTTTTTTTGCTTTGGTTGTGAATTTTTTACATGAACTTTATAACTAGTCATATTTTTGCTATTTCCGTTTTGTATATATTGTAACTAAAAACAATTATAAATGCATTTAGATACTTTATTTTATTCTTACCGTACATGAGATCTTATTATTTTTATTTTAAAATTAAGTTATTTAGAACTCTTATTAAATGTTAAAATATTTTCTCACAGAATTTTAATTGTCAAATAGTTTTATCATTATGTTTGCCTTTATTAATAAGCAAAAAAAATTAAAGCTTATAAAAAAAGCAAATGTTTGCTATGTACATAAATATTGAAAGGACTGAAATTAATTTAACCCGTTAAACTATGTTTTGTTATAATTACACTTGAAAATTATATTTTTGTTGTCTTTAGTATAAATATTAAGTTCTGTGTACATTTTATTATTAAGTTATTCCTACCGTATGCCTTTAACATTTTTAATATTCTTTGTTTACTTAAAATGTGCTGGTTTAGTCCCGTCCGTGACATATTCTACCCTTTTTTATATTTAACAAAAAGAAATTGGAAAGATTTGTTAAATAAATATTATTTTTTATTATTGAAATTCAGAAATTTGTATTCCTGTAATATTTGTTAATTTTCTCAGAATGTTTGATTGTAAATTTGTCATACCCTTATATATTTTATGTTACTATTAAAAAATTTTAATTAAATTTTTCATTTTTTTAAAGTTTTTTTTATACTAAAAAACTCTATGGAATTTATCTATCACTATGAAATTCATCTATATTTTATCTATCCATACTTAAAATCTTTATCTTTAAGATAGTTTGGGATGAGAATATTTAAGTGAAAAAGTCTTAAACTTACTGACTTCCTTCTCACACTCTAATTCTATTCATTTCAGTTCTTCTGATAACTAATTTTCTCTAACATATAATTTGCCATCGTGACACAATATGATATATTGTATGTCAAATAAAATTTTATTATAGTGTTATTGTTATCTATCCATGTAAAATGTATAATTTGCTTCATATATATATATATCTATATTTTAATTTTTAACGTTGTATATTTAATTAAAAGTTTGAGGCATAATGTNTATGTATGTCATTGTAAAAGACCGAAATCGGGAAATTGGTGACAGTTGGCCTTCTTTGGTGAATGTCAACAACCACTTAGTTGATAGATCTCATTTGATATATTTAGGCATTTATTTGATATTTTAATATCCAATAAGCAGCTGTGGGAATAATAACTGCTAATCTTTGTCTAATGTTTTTTAAGGTTAAAAATTCCTTGCCCGGTATTTCCTATACTGATGGGTTTCTCTAAGATAAGTGCCATTGTCTGGTATTCTCTACACTGTTTTTTTTTTAAGGTTCAATGCCATGGACCATGGTTCGGTATTCCAAACAATATTCTATTTGTGCTATGCATAGATGTGATATCTGTAACTAGCTGAGCTTGAGCTAAAATTAAAGATTGTTTCTTAACATTTCCTGAGTACATATGAATTGAGTACAAATACATACAACTTCATCATAGAGTTAAGTAAAATAAATTTTAGAGAACCTCATAATATTTCAGTTTAGTCATAAAAAACAAGTTCCATTTATGTGATTAGCTCAACAAAGTAATTCTCTGATTAACTATTATTTTAATAGTTATAAAAAAGTTGAACTTTTTGTGTACTTAACTACTTTATTACATTATCATAAAATTAATACATTAATCATAAAAGATTCTTTTTTTTAATTGTTTTTTGAAATTGATAGCAAATAAAAGTATGATGTATTTAATTTATAATTTTATGATTGTCAAAGAACTTAAAAAATTTTATACATCTTCATTAGATAGTTTGATTTGATGCCTTCATATTAAACAAATTTCTTGGATCTTTTTGAGGAACAATTAATTAAAGAATAGTTCACATTTCATATGCTATTGACCCATATTATTGTCACAAATTTTCTTCTGTTTTTGTTGAGCTTTGCTTGAATGCTTATTCATTGTAAATTAGATCATAATTTTCATATAAGGTTGTAGAAAATGTTTATTTATTTATTGAGCTCAGATTTTAATTTGCATAGTTTATATTGTGTTTGTTCATGTTTGTTTATTTGTTGCTATATTTATTTTCATTGTAATGAAATTTGAATTCATTTATGTATGATACTAGCTATAATAAAGCCATCTATATTGTTTATTATTTTTAAATCTTTTTTTTTATCACATTAAAAAGTCAGCAGACCAGAGGGTTGCTCTAACCTTTTTTGTTCACGACATAGTTACTTTCAAACAAATATCTTTATCAGAGGATAACGCCGTAACTAGCCTTTGTTGTGGCTTGGTGCTTCAAGCAATTGGTGATTCATTAAGCTTCCAGATATCCTAGTGAAACAATTGTTTACTTCCTTCCAGATATCTTAATGACAGAATCATTTGCTTTCAGATATTCTCATGAAAGAATCGTTTGCTTCCAGTTATCCTATAGCAAAAGAATTGTTTACTTCTAGATATCTTTTAGAAAGAATCATTTGCTTTTCGATACCGTAGGGCAGGGATGGCGAACCAATGGCACGCGTGCCATTTATGGCACGTGACACAATATTTTGAGCACNCACTTTATAGTATTTGTGTCGTGCTATACCTTTTAAAAAGCAAGCAAAAATAGTCAAATATTTTCGAAATTTCCTGTGTAGTTATTAAATGTTTTTTTTAAAATTATTTTGGGCTAGTTCGGAGCAATTGACATCTCTGGTTAAGTTGCGTTTTACTCGTCAAGGAAATTAAAAAGAGTCGCAGCGGTCTGTTGGAGTCTGAAGTTATATTGATTGCAATACAAGATATAACTCACGGTGTTCCACGAACATCGCCTTTAAATGGGACGTATTAATCATCTCCCCTACTTACTGTAGGCGATCGCAACGCCATCTGGGGAGAAGACCGGTTCTCCATTCTCTCCTCCTTTCACGTACTACGATATTTTTCCTCTTAATATTTTTCTCATTTAATTGTTAAAAATATTTTTTACAATTTACATGTTGCTTTTTTTTAGAATTATCTTTAATGTAGTTTTCAGTGCAAGCCGGATGCGGAGTTCTGTATCGACCAGCCATCGTCGGGATCGAACCCCGGTTCACCTCATTGGAAGGCGAATGCTCTATCCCCTGAGCCATCGTGGTTCTACTTTCCTAACTTGGAAAGATTTGAATCTATTTGAAAATCAAAACTAACACCCACCCTCTTTATTATTCATGAATTGTTTCGCACGGCGCATCTTGAATGACCATGTAAAATTTAATTAATAAAGGTTGGAGAATTATTTCAACGGCCCATCATATGATTCACAGTGAATTATATAATTCACCGACTTTACACAATCAGATTTCCATGCCGAAGACTCCCCGTGTAGTAAATGGTGACTGATGCATGTTAAATCTGTCAAGTCGCAAAGTCCTCCATGTTCCCATAACAAATCAATACCTCTGGTGGTACTGATCCAGGAGTTTCCTTGTCTTCTAGATTAGTTCAAAATTGCAAGGCTACAGAGTTGAACATTAGTAGTCGTAAACCCGAAATTGGATCAGCTGTTCAGTGACGGATATGAAATAAAATATTTAAAAAAAAATCTGATTTCTATGAGCCATGATAGCTCAGGGGATCTCGCCTGAGGGCGTTCGCCTTTGCTTCGCAAAAATTGCTTTCAACGACTGTTGTAAAATAAAATCTGTCAGTCCTCTGTAGGGTCTGAATTGGATTGGCGATCAAAATGGGCTATAGCTGGTGCATAGCAGAACTATTTACTTACGGCAACACTTCCCATGCTTTCACCATTTGCGTGTGGATAGTGATAGGAACAAGGTAATGAACAAGCAGATGCCCT